GAGCTGAAACGACTCTCCTACATTTCCGACGGAGCTTTTAAGGACCTAAGCAACCTGCGCTACCTGAACCTGGGCATGTGCAACCTCAAGGAAATACCCAACATTTTACCTTTGGTCAGGCTCGAAGAGCTGGAGATGTCAGGAAACCAGCTCTCTGTGGTCAAACCCAGTTCCTTTACGGGTTTAGCGAACCTCCAAAAGCTGTGGATGATGCACGCCCAGATTCAAACCATCGAGAGGAACTCCTTCGACGATCTACAGTCTCTGGTCGAGCTCAACCTGGCTCACAACAACCTGACGTTTCTACCGCACGATCTCTTCACGCCTCTGCACCGCCTGGAGAGGGTCCACCTCCATCACAACCCCTGGAACTGCAACTGTGATATCCTCTGGCTCAGTTGGTGGCTAAAAGAGAGCGTTCCCGCTAACACTAGCTGCTGCGCCCGCTGCCATTCCCCCTCCGTCTTCAAGGGCCGCTACATCGGGGAGCTGGACCACGGCTACTTCCAATGCGACGTTCCGGTTATCGTGGAGCCTCCCACCGACCTGAACGTGACCGAGGGAATGGCCGCGGAGCTGAAGTGCCGAACCAGTTCGCTGACCTCCATCTCCTGGCTCACGCCCAACGGCTCCCTGGTGACTCACGGGGCCTATAAGGTGCGGCTTTCGGTTCTCAACGACGGGACGCTGAACTTCACAAGCGTCACCATGCAGGACACGGGGACCTACACCTGTATGGTCAGCAACACGGCCGGAAACATCTCAGCTTCTGCCGTGCTTAATGTTACTTCTGTGGAAAACAGCGGAGTGACCTATTTTACTACGGTTACCGTGGAGACTATCGAGACCCCCGGAGACGATAGCCAAACCCAAATCCCCCCGTTTGGCTGGGTTTCGTCCTCCACTACGAAGGGAACTCCAGTTCTGACACGGACCACGGAGCGGACTTACACCATTCCGGTTCTGGACCTGGACGGGGAGGGAGCCCTCAACGGTTTGGACGAGGTGATGAAAACCACCAAGATCATCATCGGCTGCTTCGTGGCCATAACGCTAATGGCCGCCGTCCTGCTGGTTATCTTCTACAAGATGAGGAAGCAGCACAACCAGCAGGACCCGGACGGCCCCGCCTCCTCCATGGAGGTCATCACGGTGGAGGAGGAGCTCACGGGAGTCGCGGCTATGGAGAGACACCTTTCGCTGCCCCCTCTGGAGCACTACAACCACTACAACTCCTACAAGAGCACTTACCACCACCCACACATGCACGGCGCCATACACAGCTCCGCCACGCAGGAACCCTTACTCATTCAGGCCTGCTCAAAAGACAATGTGCAAGAGACCCAGATCTGAGCTAAAAACGTGCCCACATATTACAGCATTACCAGTGTTAACACTAGGACAACAAAAAAAAAAAACAAAACAACAAAAAAAAAAAAAAAAAAAAAAAAAAAAAGCCTTGACAGTCGACGGGCAAGTTAATCAGCATTTGGCAAAAGGGACAACCTGCGATACTTTAAATGAAAAGTGTCTTTTCGAGAAAACAAAGATTATTTATTAAAAAAAAATGTTTAGTGGCTAAATGACGAAAAAACAATTTGTGATAGCTTTTTAGCTCATTTTATTTCTCTGTGTAACACCGCACAAGGGAAAGAATGGTTTTAAAACGTGAACATGGACTCAAACGCAGCTGCTGGAACTGTAGCCACAATATTATTAACACGATGTTTTTATTAACTCGAAAATCATTTACGATGATTTGCTAAAAGGACGTTGTTTCAACATTTCTTTGCAAGTTTGTCAGCATTAAATAAGGCGAAAGTTACTTGTCTTTGAAACAGAATGGGGGAAGGGTGGGTTATTTTCTTTGCCATCTTATCCAAGCTGTCATTCAACATGAGATTAGATCTGCTAATGACGCGGCTCTGGATGATATCAGAGAGAAACCAGCATGCCTGCAGAGCAAAGCTGGCAAATGACTAAATGTGTTTCCCCTGTGGCTCCCAAACAACAGCCATACATCCTTCACTTTAATTAAGATTAAGGTCTTGCTCCCACTTCCCTCTCCTCGCATTTCCCTGCATTTTCTTTTTACTCTTAACCCGTTTCCTTTCTAATCCTCCTCTCTCTTCTTGTATCTTTGAATCCTCCATTTTCCCGGGTTTCTCGTCCCTCTCCTTTCCTTCGTGTCCGTTTGCCTCTTTGATTGTCTCCCTTCACATCCCTCACCCCTCGCCATGTTTAATTTGTCTGGCTTTATCCTCGGGCGTCTGCCACGCGACAAGGCAAGGCATTTTTATTTATATATATATATATATAGCGCAATTCATACCAAGCGGCCACTCAATGTGCTTTACATCAAGACAAGACATTTTAAATAAAAAAGAACAGCATAAAACAGCATAAAAAAACAAACAAACAAACAAACAATTTTTTTTTTAAAAGGTTAAAACACAGTTAAAAGCAACAGTTATAGCGCAATTCATACCAAGCGGCCACTCAATGTGCTTTACATTAAGACAAGACATTTTAAATGAAAAAGAACAGAATAAAACAGCATAAAAAACAAACAAACAATTCTTTAAAAAAAAGGTTAAATCACAGTTAAAAGCAGGAACAAAGGAAAAAGCTATATGTTTGTTACAGCTCCAGTGCTTTTGCAAAACCAAGATTACAATGTTAAAAAGAACATGTTAAAAAAATATTTAAAAAAGCTGATTCATGAAAGTATGTTTCATGAATCATGTCACACACTACAACATTTTAGCTAAGGCTAATTCTCAAGTTAGTTTTACACAAAACAAAGTGACTGTACACAAGGCACAACAGAACAAATCACACACTGAAAAATCACAGACAGTTTAAATCTCTAGAAACGTGACAACAAACCAGAGAAACAGA